GTTAGGAACTTAATTTATTTATTCATAAAAGTTTTGTTTGTTAGAATATTACTGTTTTACTATATTTATATAATCTTATACACGCGATCAGTATTAAAAGTTTAAAAGTGTACATTTAATGTATTTTATTAATAAATAACTATCTTTTTAAACTCAAATAAGAACATGAAAAATGATTTTTTTATATTGCCATTCTAATTTAAATAGTAAACTTTTTTTTTTTAACAACCTAATTTCACATATTTTATTTAATTACACTTTTGATACTGAACGCATAATTATCACTATGGTTTTACACTTTTTGTTTATAATCTAATGGTTTTATGAACACTGTAAATACTAAATAATGTGTTATTAATGCCTATAGATCTTATAATTTAATTTGCCTCATTATATTAATTTATTGATGTACTAGTTAGTCACAATAAATTTTTAATCTCTATATTTTGAAAAACTATTTTTAAGATAATTAAAATAGCTATTAAGATACTCGTGAAATACTTATTCCCTTGTTTATATGCTATTCAATTTGTTAAAATTTGATATTTAAATAAATAATGCTAGTGTTTTAATGTTTGATACCTGACGCATTGAACTGAACATACCCAATACATCTTGTCACTCATTCATTATGTATTAAAATATACAAATTAAGGTTAAGAGGAAGCTACTCATATATAATATGTTGCCTGTCTTTAAAATTATATTATTAAAAGTTTGAATTCCATAGAATCAATTTTATGTTTGATTTAATATAATAGTGAATATTTCAATTATTAAACAAGATATGTCTGAACTATCACAAATTCAATCAAAAAAAAAAAAATTATTTTGTTTTTAATAAAGCCAAAGCTGAAACACAGATAATGTTCTTACCTTAAATTTTGATTTTGATTTAAATATCTAAGCCAACAGAAAACTGCTGAACTGAAATCTGATAAGTTTGTAAGACATATACAAYACATACTTGAGTATACTATGGCCATCGTAAGAACGCTGCTGGGTGGCGACCAAAATTCGTTCAATTTCGCTCATCCCCACCACTAAACCTTCCCGAATGCTGGCCATCACCACTGTCGTTGCCAMATTACGGCGGTGACTACTGGTTGGTAGAGTAGGAGAAATTTGGGTACTAAACTGTAGACTGCAGAGCTCAGTCATTTGAATGTGCAAATGAAAAGCGTTCTTACAGTGACATTTATAGCATCCTCTTAACACGTTCGCTGCATTACAAAAGCAATTGTTGGTGTCCTTAAGATCTATTAGCACCATTRAGTATTAAATACTCATATAAAATAAATTGATTATTATGTTGTAAATTAAATGTTATTCTTTCATTAGTTAGSGTAATTCAATTGATATATATTAAGATATATTTATACATTGTTTGTAAGTATGACCAGATGTGAATAGATTCTATTCATTAGAAATTATTATTACTTACACTACTGTAAGAACCACAAATAGATATATGAGGAGAGGTTAGAGTATAAAGTAGAAAAATACAGGTGAAGTTTGGAAAACCAACAATTGTTATGACTTATAACCAATGTGATAAAAAGCAATTAATCCATTCTCAATGACATAGCCGGCATGCAATGATTTTGTTTAAAAGAAAGTTAATAAAAAATATTGTTTCATTTTTTGATAAAAATTAAAAAATATATTTCTGAATCTACCTATATAAAAACAACCAGCATTCCATATGATAATAAAAATAATTATAAACAGTATTAGTATGCTCAAAAATCATTTATAACATATGTAAATCTGGCATACTAATTTTTATGCATTTTTAAGGCATACATTTATTGTTTTGTAGTTCCATAAGATATTTTAACATTAAATCGATAAGTGTTGATGACCAAACATGAATCTAAAATAAAAAATTTAATTTAAACAAACATTCTATTTATTAAATTAAATAACTCACTTTTCCAGAAACATTAATTGAAGCAACTTTTGGTGCTTCAAATGCTTTCAATTTTAATTTTGAAACATTTATTCCACTTGTTATTTTAAAATGATCCTCTATATCAGATTGAACTTTTATTAAATCTGAATAATGAAATGAAGTGGCTTCAGAAGATGATCGATTCAATGAAAGTCTGTAAATTATATCATTTGTTTTAATACAAAATACCAGGAACATGATCTGCTGTGTGGTAGACATCAATAGTACATTGAGTATATCACTACTACAATTATGAGGGATGTGCTCAATTTAAAGTCAATAATGAAAATATAAAGAAAAAATTTGAGCAGAAACAGTGTCAAATTTATAAAAATTAAATTTTATAGTAACAGGTAGTTAATTAGTTCTAACTTATAAGTATTTTAGGTATAGATAAGTGAAGTAGATGATGAAMATTTTGTGGGATACCCTTGCCAGCTGTCACACCACACTGCTCATCAAAATTAAATACAAATATAACCCATCAAGTTCATCTTGGCACTAGGAAACCGTTAAAATAAATATCCACCCACCAATTRTTCCATGTATCATAATTCTTTAGCTGGAAACACATCAATGTAGTGAAAAAAACTGCCACGACTTTCTGGATAACCTGACAGCCTTTTGTYACTGAAACTGCAATATTTTGTTGTGATAGAGAGTAGAATTATGATATATTTTGAAACATAGGTTTTGTTTTTAATCATGTCAGTTGTCAAATGCCAAGATAAACTGGATAACTCATTAACTATTGATTCAAAGTTTGGTTTAAATATATAAAAGTATTTTAAAAATATTCAGCTTTGGAACAAAAATAAAAATATCTATWGTCATTTAAYAAAGTAAAAATAAATTAAGAAATTATAACAATAAAAATTACATTTTTAAAATTTTATGTTTTTTGGAATTTGAGAGACAATATTGAAAATGTTGAAGAGTCAATTTCAAGTAGTCTTGRCGACAAATTAAAATCTGTTTTTGAATTCTTATTGCTATATTAGATCAATTGGTATGTTTGACAAAGAACACGTCTAAAATCCTATGTCATGCGTGCAAATAAACTAACAGACAATCACGGTATCAAATTCTCTTAATGATAGAAGTTACAATTAATTTTGAACATTATAACAACAATTTTCTACAAAGATTATCAACCAAAAATATAAAAACATATTGAGATAAGGTAAATATATAGTATAGGTATTCGTTGTTCCGCTTAATATCTAAATTAGATTAGATTGAAACCAAAAGATTTTTGCTAAGTGAATCAAATTTTAGCCATATGGTAAAAAGAAAATATTTTCTGTTTAAAGAATATAGTATAATTTATATTTAGATACAATYGTGCAATAAAATAATATTTTTGAATACTAACTTAGCAAGAACCGATCGAAGGAATTCTGATTCGGCATAACATTTCACATCCATTTGACCCTTTGATGATTCACATTTGTAGATATAGTGGTATAAAACGGTTTCATTGTATAATTGTCCGGCATCACACATTGATATAGCAATAAGCCATAGAAATTGATATAAAGCAAATTCATATGGCCTAATAACACAATCAAAATGTTCAGTTAACCAATTATGTATGGCTACCAAAAATGATTTATTTCCTTGTACCATTAATATAGGCATATCAGATAAATTATTTTTATCATAATTTTGTTTGTAATTCGGTGATTTTAATAGCAAACCAGTGTAAAGTTTTGAATTAGTATCATTGTTAATAACATAAATCTGTAAAAAAAAATTATAATAAAGTATAGTAAAATAAAA